ACACGACGCCTATTGTGCTCGAATAAAGTATCTCGAAGGCAGGATATGAAATAAAATGGAACAGCAAGTTTCTGTACGAATTACATTTATGTCGAACGTTTATAATAGCAACGCAACGAAATTGAAAGAAACGGTTAACAATCTTCTTAATCTCATCATACAATTAGCATACAATTTGTTCCGATCGTTACAAAGAAATAGTTACTGATACAGTTACGATTACCACGTTTATATGTACTGTTTACCTAACAAAAGATAACGAACTCGAAATTATCACCGGGTATTTGAACCTTCTACAGAACACGATTACTCGTTTGATAATTTCTTATCGATTTCCTTCCGCTTGATTGACTTTCCCCTCGTTAGGAATACTTTTACGCATTTCTATCCTGTAATCATTATTGGCGACATTTAAAATCAGAAGAGCGGGTATCACGTTGAATTCGTTACTTCTGGCAATTTTCGGGGCAAGCTTAATATTCGTAAACGTATCCTCGTCGACCCTTATATCCAAATACAATCGTCGATCTTGAAGAAATCTCTCGCTCGATAAAACGACCGTACGATTCCCGAATTTACAAGCGAAAGCTGGCAGATGCCGCTTTACTTCTGCTATGTAAACGTCTCGGACTGCTCTGCAGTGAACGTTCGATGATCTCATCCGATTCCCCGAAAAATTCTCGGAGTATCTGTTTCCATTTCGATTTCCTGAACCGAGATGCAAATGTTCCTCCTCTCTTAACTTCTCGTCGATCCTCGAATTTTTAGCGTCCTTTGATGTGTTGTCAAATATATTCGATTTTAAAGTATGCGTCAATGCTTCGCCTAATGTTGCTACTTGCACGTTAGCGATTTTCGATAAAGAAAAAATTAAACATAGGCCTTTATTTTCGTAAGGACACGGCTGTTTATCATGGCTCAAGAATTTTGGGTTCTCTCCGTTACAGTTTCCAACGCAGGTATCATGGGTTGTCCCTTTCCCACTTAAGGATTCACTCTCAGGTGCTTCAGAGTCGATTCTTCCATTTATGTACTCATCTTGTGCCCTTCCAGCGTTGTTTATAATATTAGAACGAATATCTTGATTTTGAATCGCTTTGCTTTTACAGAACAGAGTAAAATTCGTTAGTATCACAATGCAAAACAATGACTTGCGGAACATTTTAACGAGGACGAAGAACTCACTTTTATTTTTCATTCACGTATCTCGACGCGTTCTGTAACAGTCCTCGACGCGATAGATACTGACTGTGCCAGAAAAACAATGTGAACGCAAAAGCAAGCAAGGTGTATGGGGACTGAAGATTGGGCCGTTATGTCTACTGTGTTCATTTCGTGCGCGCTGACCTTATCTCCTGTTTGGACATAGTTCGAATACCACTGAATTTGGTTCTATCTTTCGAAGAATTTCACGTCGACTTTGATCCTGCGTTCCGAGGGATGTTTCACAACTCGTCTTCTCTACTTAAATGCAGAAATATTGTATAAATATTACTTATATAATTTTAAAACATAAGCGGATGAAAATTAATAATACCTTATAAATACGAATAATGTAAAAAGTTTCTTCTTTCTTTAATAAAGGTGAAATTGCATTTATTATTAAAATTACAATATGTATGTTTATGTAGGAATTTTTCATTAACGCTACTATATAATACAAAGCTGTTACACGAAGTTTATTATAGCATATGTATGTATAATTTATATAATATATTTTAACACGAAGTATCTGTAAAGAGACTACAAATTGAATTTAAAAATTACTATGTACTGACGTTATAAATTTATATGTCGAATAATAAAAGTTTTGAATGGTGGTCGTTTTGAATAGGTGCTGCGGCACTTCATATAGTAAAAATTATTACTCGAATTCCCGATATATGTATTTAGAAATGTATATAAAAATGGAGTATAAAAATAGAACATAATATTCATGAAACCTAACTATATACGATATATAAAGACATACAGTTATTATAAATGTGATTATATTCCATAAATATACGTTTATATATTACGAAGTACGATGAGGTTTCTTGAATTGTAAAAACATTAACCCCATTTAACAATATTATTAATTATAAGCAATTATATTTGCATACTTTCTTTTATTGCAACTTTATATTAATAAAATAGTTACAAAAATAAGAACTAAATCTTACACGTGTAATTATTTAAGTATAATAATGAAAATAGAACGCGTTATGATCATTGACATTACGTGCGCGGTATAGGTGCGCAATGTGATGTCAACAACGTGTGTATAAAATGTAAAACGTGCCTTTTATATTGCACATGTTAGAGGAAATGTGCATATTTTATTATTATTTCTACATTGATGGCGTGATTTTGTAATTTTCCATTTATTATCAAGTAAGAAACATGATTGTATCATAATAGAAATTATTGATTTCGAAAATTAATATAATGTATGACTTATTCACATTTTAATTACTACTTTTCATTGTATTTGAAAATAAATACAAGTAAAATTAAAAACTCTAAATAGCAATATTACCTACATAATTAAAGTACAGAATAAGAAACTAACCTAACTTAACCTAACAATTTTTTAATCGTTGTTTGATTTTGTCCAATGTTAATGCATATTCACAAATATGAAGGTGTGATAAAATTAAAGTAACATGGCTGGTCAACAACATCCATTTCCTTCTGGATTTCCTAATGTACAACAATCTGCAATGAGAACGCAGTTTGGTGGAGGACAAATGGTATCTGGTTTGATGGGTCCACAACAAGGTGGTAAGTACAAGGTGATATAAACATCAATTGAAGAAAATACTTAAAAGGTAAATGTTAAATGAGTACTGTAATATTCACTTCAAAACAGGTATGGTCAGTCCACAACAATTTGGAGTTGGTGTAGGAGTTGGAGTTGGCGTGGGTGGAGTAGGTTCCAATACTATGGGTATACCTAGCGCGCAACAAGTTTTAGCACAGCAACAGCAGCAACAATCTGTTGCAATGCAACAACAAGTACAACAGATGCAACAGCAACAATTACAATTACAACAACAACAGCAAGCTGCAATGGTGCAACAAACTAATGCAGCAGGCAATCAAGCTACAACACCACAAACTCCTGTACCACCTACACAACCACCACCTCAACAACAACAACAAAACAAGGAATTCAACACTGCCAGTTTATGCAGATTTGGTCAAGAAACTGTACAAGATATTGTTAGTCGTACTCTGGAAGTCTTTCAAACCCTGAGAGTTCTCCAACCACCAAATGGTACCTTAAAATTATCTTCATGTATCTTTTGTTATATTATGCAATATAATAATTTTAGGTATGGCACAAGGAGCAAGTTTAGCTAATGAAAAAAAGAATAAAGTACAGGAACAATTAAGAACACTGAAGTTACTATTTAAACGTTTAAGATTGATTTATGAAAAATGTAATGAAAACTGTCAACTTCAAGGTATGGAATATACACATATAGAAAGTTTAATTCCTTTAAAAGAAGAATGGGATATGAAATCGGATGAGAAAAAGACATCTGAAGCATACAGACTCGCTTGTGAAGAAAGCAAAGAAATTATGGAAGTAAGTACAGATTTCAATATACAGAATCAGAAATAAACATTTTTTCATAAATTAAAATGTTGTATTTAACTATTTCAGCAAGTCGTATTAAAGAATAAACATCTTAAAGAAATCATTGACCACTTGAGACGCATTATTTCAGAAATAAATACAATGTTAAATATGCGTCGATCTTGAACTATGAAATGTAAATAAATATTTATATAAGTTATTAAAAAACTGTGTTGAAAAATAAAAGTATTCTGTACTATATAATATCAAAATGTTAGTATTACTTACCTATTTATCGTGTTGAATTAATTTCATTCACATCTAGATAGATAGTATCACTTGCTCTTAAAACAGCTTCTGGAATCTTACCTAATGGTGTTTCTAAGTTTCGTACATATATTTCTAAGCAATCTACATCACAACCTCTAAATTCAGCAGAAACCTGTGTATTTTCATATAGATGAAATTCTGCTTGTTTTCCTGTAACAAATCCATAATTCTTTGATACTACTTTTCAAACACTATTAGTTGATTTTTAAATAATCTTGGTTTTAGTTGCAAATTCATCATATAGCTTTTCATGTCATATATTTATAAAATATTTTATTCGTGACATTTATAATTAATCATAATGTTTAATAGTTGCGTTACATTACATTCGTGTATTAGGCTAAGTATTTTTCATACTGGCGCCACACTTGAGCAATTTTGTATTTAACTATTGTGACTTCCTGTAGAGTAATCATCATATAAACCTATTATACAGGATTATACATTTATAGGAAAATTGAATATGGAAATATTTTTAATAGTCGGTTTATGAAAAAATAAATAGGATCGAAGAAGCAAAGTTTCCTACCAACAATTCCAGTAATTACACGTAGAAATCGTTCACGTAAAAACGCACGTGCTTCTTGTTTTTCAGGAGTCGCAAATTCCATGTTAGTATCATTTTCATTCAATCGTGTATTATCTTCAGTTGATTCGGTCATTTTAGCAGGATATTTGTTAACTTGGAAAAGCAAGAACGCCTTTCATGGCGGAACTACAGCAGTGCGATATGTATAGTGTCGCTATCATGCCCGCCAAACTTGAAATCTAAGATGTTACAATTTAACGTTGCAGCTAAGTGTATTATCCTTTAACTTAATATTCGTATTCAGTTGAAGCATTTACATAAATAATTAATCAATAACTGTAATAATCAAAATATTTATACTAATAATACGACATTATTGAGTATAATTATTATTAAAAAATATCGAACATCTAACATGCATAAGCAGAAACCCACATATCCTAATGAAGAAGTTTAGATTGACATAAATAATATACTTCCGACCATACCTAAAAAACATACTTTCACAAGATAAAAGATGAGGGCTACCCGCAGATTTCGAATTCTGTCGAATAGTTCGCTTAGTTTCTTTTCATTCTCGTTCTATACGTCGCATTGTAACAATGAATTTCCACATCTTCATACTTTTAACCATCGGTATTAACTGCAGTAAGTATTTGCGGTTACTTCACGTATTACCAACGATGGTTTATACATCTATACTTGCTCATATAATTATATCATTAATTATTATTATTTTTCCAGGGCGATGTTACAAAGTCATAGCAGCGACAGAAAACGAAAAAATAATTCACAGATCATTAGGATTAACCACTGGGGACAACAAAGACGTTCAAGCGTTAGAGAAAGAAATATCTTTGACAGATTTGTATTCAAAACAGAATTCGATTAGGTTAGAAGAATTAGATAGAAACGTTAACAGGGGAGTGGATCCGTCAAATAGAAGATCGAAGATTTTGAGAAGCTTAGCTTTCCTAGCTGGTTTAAGTGTTGGTGATTTAGCTGGTGCAGCATCGTCCGACGTAAAAAGTTATGCTAAATTCTCACCATTGAGCGTGAACGTTGGTGCTTCTCGAGTTTCACCTCATGTTGCTGCGATTTACGACCCGTACCCTTACGTGCCGTATCCTTATGTATTTACCACTCCTTTAGGATTTTATCCGTTATGGGATCCACTACGTTTACAATCGATTAGCGGAATACAAAATAATATTCAACCGTTGGTGCAGAATTCACCGCTATTAAACTTGTTGGGGAACAGACCGACTGATGTGTTAGATACCAACGACGAGTATGTGGAAGCGGCACAGAAAATTGAAAATGTCAAATCGTCGAGCAACACCAACAAAGACACTGACAAGAGTGCAGAATTCCAAATGGAAGACAATCGGAACGCGGAAGAGAAGGTAAGGATTTGGTAAGATGAACAAATGGAAATTAGAGCAGAAAATCTTGTAACTTGTGTTTTATTTTGCATTATAATTAAGACAGAGGGGAATAATTATAAATTTATTATATATATATTAGTTTTATAATTATAATTATAATATACATATTATATAATGTTTATATATTATTTTAAATGTTTCATGTAAATATGTTCCTTTATAGAAATTTTTATACAATTTTTTGCCTGTCATGTTATTTCTATGTATTAGTTAATTTAAAAATTGTTCATAGATATTATAATATATCAATATTATTTTTATGAATTTATCATTTACATTAAATTATTTGATTATTTGTAGTAGAGATTGTGAAATTAAAAATTACAGTAAAAATATATTTTTTTGTAGAAATAAAATAGTTAATAATAAAATAAAATTTGCATGAAGTTTCATAAAACTATAACACTGGACACATATTTCAATGCTTGAATATTTACTTGAACATATTAAACATGTTAAACATGAAACTCCAAGATCAATATTTTATAATTAATTATTATAATTAATATACATAGATGTTAATTCTATTTTATATGAAATTGTACATAAAACTGACCTTTGTCATAGGAAGATAAAAGCAATAAATTTTAACAATCTATGATATTTATGTTTTATTAACAGAAATCATCTCCTGGCAACACATGCAATATGGAGAAAGGACTCAAAGCTAAACAGGGTAGCTCAGAGAAAAGTGTATTCAAGGAACATGAAAGTGCTGATGCCTCGTTAACGACACTAGGTTTACGGGCTATAAATACAACAGAACAAATAGCCTCTACCAACACGACCCGTGGAAATACAACTCAGATTCCTGATACGTCGGTGACAATGAGCTCCGCGCAAAATTCGACAATGCACAATAACCGAACAACTCCACAATTTTACGGCTACTACGGTGGATATCCACAGAACATAAACCACATAGAGCTAACCACGGAAACGTACGAACAGAAATATCATGGTTACGAACATATTAATTACAACCTACCCACGTACGAGAAACCGGTGAATTTTTATTCAGACGAAAGATACAACTATTACCCTGCCCCACCTGTTGATTCTTACCCAAGTCAATTTCATCAGGAACACATCCCGGAATACCATTCCAACCACTTCAAGAGATTTTTGTATACCTCAGCCAATACACCGCCATTTGTCAACAGCGATTTCAGACCTGTGGTGTAAAATTATTGTTACGTATCTATATCGTAAAATATAATATAATAATACTGTAAGAACACGTGGATGATGAGAAAAGAAATACAATATTTTACATCGAGGAGTTATTAGAATAATTTCAGTAAAATATTTTGGAAACGTGTAATTGAGTATTTTGACAAATTAAATAATAAAATGATTATAAAATCGATCAGTCGGCTAGTTTATGTATAATCTGTATCTTGTATATACTCTAGTTGAATGTAAATAATTACGTTCTTCGTATATTATACCAATATCGTTATTGACTGTCTGTGACGCCGGATAGGACAGTAATAATTGCTGGTTGCTCCGTTAGAATGTTGACAGAATTCTACTAACGAACACGTGTTCACTTATTTTAGAGAATTTTGTAAAATAGAGAAGTTTATAAAATATTGTTAATATGGACCTCAAAGGACTGAAAGTGTTTCTTTTATTTCTTAATTTAACATTTGTATGTAATTTTTACGTGTTTGCAAGTAAGTATTACATTTTATTTAACATTTCTATTTAAGTGTTTTATAAAAAATATTATAGAATATTATAGAATAATATTATAGAATAACTCTCAGCTGATTATAAAATTAAAATATTAAGTAAATTAAAGTATATTGTAGTATAGTTTATTATAATAACTATATTGAAAAGTTTTTAAAATTTGTATATTCTTAAATTTTTTAATTATTAACAATTGTAGTTGCTTTAAGTGACTATAAAATTCCAAAATTAACTAAGTTAAACTATATTATATTTTATTAACTATATTACACTATATTATAATGTAGTCAATTACAGTGACTAAATTAACTAAATTAATTAAAATGAATATTAATTAAATACTAAAGTTTTCACATTCCTAAATTTTTAAATTACTAACAATTGCAATTAATATTATAATATATTTCACTATAAAATAAGGTATATTCATTCTTTTACCATTTTTGCTACTAGACGTATAACAAAATATTTATTTCATATCAACAACATCTACCATTCCAGAAATACATCCATCGACAAATGCTCGCAGTGTGAATGACTCGTCACCGAAATTAACGACACTTTCCCCGATATTAAAAAGAAAAGCTAATGGCACTTTTACGACACGGAACGAACCCCAAAATTCCTGGGAAGGATTCGAAATTTATGCAGAAACGTATAAACCCACGAATTTTTTCTCTCCCAACGAGGACACCAAGCCAAACGAAAACTGGAATGTGGATTCGAACTCACAGTTACATCATCGATCACCTTCCACATCTCCAAATTCACCATCCGATTCCCCAGAGAAGAAGCAAACAAGTTCCTGGCGCTTATTTGACAAACGATCGATTAAAAGCAGTACGAATAACAGAAACACCAGGAAAAACAGAGGAGAAAGGAGAAGAGAGAAACAAAGGAAAGCAAATGTGTTGGGACGATTGTTAATGAACAACCCCATGAACAAGAACGACGAGGATATCCAAGACGATTATATAGAAGACGAAGTCGACGATTATTTCAGGGGTGTGAACAAAAAGAAAATGAATTGGGAAGCGTTTCAGAACGAAGATGGGTCAAGTGTGATGGAGCTAATTGCTCTCGATGCAAGACACAAGACAAACACGTACCCAATACACGACGAGCAACAGCAATGATCAGCTCCCATACACGTTCAGAAAATCCTTTATCCCTGATGATGAACGATACATTCAGATTACAAGATATCGATACTTGCATAAAATCTAGATCTCATGATAGATAGCCTCATCCATATAAAATCCCTGACGATGAACAATAAATTCAGATTATAAGACATATTGGATAAAATTTAGACCTAGATAGTCTCACGAAGAGTCCATGCAGAAAAGCAGTCGAATTTTGTGTAGATTTCAAAGTATTTAGAACAGAAATATTGGACATTTATCAGGTATCGTTTGTTTCTTCAAAGATTTTCATTTTGCAGTAATCTTTTCATCTCTTCCTCGGTGCCAGGATCAAATGTTCATTTTGATCAAAAAATTCGAAGTCATAGCTTCGTTTCTGCCATATACTTGGTATCGTAATTTGTAAATTAAAAGAATCTTCTGCTTTTCTTCTTCTTCGTCAAATACGGATTGTTTGGACAATTGTTCCTGGATTGGACAGTTGGCTCAGGTTGCTACTACTGTCTATGGTGAGGGGAAAATCATGGAGTGTGGGAAGTCATCGTCATCTACAAAATCGGACAAAAACGGTATAGAAATTCTTTTTAATTGTCGATTAATCAGCAAACTCAGAGTCTACCAATCGGACAGCGTGGCTCGCAGGGAAGAAACCTGTTTTATTTTCGGACGAGTTTGGAGGGCTGGGCTCCTCGTCTATTTCGAGAAGGCCGCCACTGCTGGTATTGTGTTTCTAAAGACGCGAATACTTTGCAGCTTTTACGAATGGTTTTTCACAAAGAAAATTTTTCTGTCTCGATCTTTGTTCAGGCAAACTGCAAAAAAAACGTTATTCTTTTATTTGTATTCGTTGGTGGATTTTCTCAATTAAATTCCGCTTCTATTTTTAAATATATATTAAAATAGAATTATTAACAATTAGAAAATGGTTCAGAAACTTACAAAGGTATTTTTATTCGTGTTGAGAAATTTTCCAAAATTTGGAAACTGATTATGATATAGTTAAAAATATAGAAGTGATATATTGCTTAAAAAAAACAAATGTTTACATATGCACAAGTATTGTTTAAATTTTTGGAACTTATTATAATGTAATTAAAATGAATTTTTTGATATAATGAATTTCGAAGCACAATGTATTAAAAATATAAGATTTTGGAAAATTTTTTAATTAATTATAATATAATTAGTATAAGCTAATTTCTTGCTCCATATATTTTAAAAATGTATATTAATATCGGAAATAGTTTTTATATATTTATGTACAAGAGTGTGGATAATTAAGAAATTACGAAATTTTTAATTCGGGAGTAATTATAATATAATATAATTAGTATAAGCGTGATAAGATTGGCATTGTTTTAACAAAATGTAGGAAACACTGGTAAAAAAAACAATGGTTATTTTAAAGCTTAATACACGTATAGGGGTAGTCCCGATATACTGGCACAGTATTGCGTGCACGATTATGCAATAAGCAAATAGGAAACGATCAACTTCCTTCACGGAAGCGTTAACTCTTTTTTGAGGGGACTGCGGGGTGCCGATATTATCGCTGCTAATGGACATAGCTCCTCAGAAAGCACGTAGATTATCTATTACACAAGACTACAGGTTGCCAAAGGGTGCCACTTAATTGCTTTCAATAGTATATTACAATGCCAATATCAGTGATCTTGTTCAATTCTTTTAATGGTATACAAAATGTTATTTTCTTCTAAATATAAATTTGCTGCATTCTAACCTCTTGCACTTAACTGTTCCATTTAATCAATTTCAATATTGTATGTGTAATAATAATATCAAAGGTCTCCTTCATCAATTCTTCCAAACCTCATGTGACACAGCATTAGTAAGAAAATGTAATCTTCTTCAAAATACCACTTTATGTATTCTAACCTATATGATATCAATGTGTCATATCAATGGCTTTACTGAATTCTCAAGTCATATGACAAAAGATTAATAACAGAATGTAATCTTCTTACAAATATTGGTTTGTGTTTTCTAATCTACAGCATTTAGCTGTTCTATTTAATCAGCTTCAATATTGTACTGTAACAACAATATGAATGATCTTATTCAATTCCTTCAAGAAAATGGATTAATAACAAAGTGTAATCTTCTATAACATACAAGTTTGTATATTCTAATTTATTGCATTTAACTGTTCCACTAAATTAGTCCCAATGTTATGTTGCAATGATCTCCTTACCCAATTCTTTCAAGTCATATATAAAAGGATTAATAACAAAATGTGATCTTTTCTAAAGTACTAGTTTGTGTATTGTAATATGTAGCATTTACCAGTTCCACTTAACTAATGTTATATTGTTAATGTTATATTGCAATGATCTCCTTATCTAATTTTTTCAAGTCATATGGCAAAATATTAATAACAAAATGTAGTCTCTTCTAAAATACTAGTTTGTGTATTGTAACATGTAACATTTAAGAGTTCCACCTAATTAGTCTCAATGTTGTATTCCAATGATCTCCTCATCCAATTCTTTCAAGTCATATGTAAAAAGATTAATAACAAAATATGGTCTTTTCTAAAATACTAGTTTGTGTATTGTAATATGTAGCATTTAATAGTTCCACTTAATTAGTCTCAATGTTGTGTTGTAACAACAATATCAAAGATCTCCATCAATTCTTTCAATATCATTGAACAAAGAATTAGTAAGAAAATGTAATCTTCTCCAACAACAGGTTTGTGTATTCTAATCTATAACATTTAATTGTTGCACTTAATCAGATTCAATACTATATCATAACTGGAATATCAATGATTTCTTTAGTCAATTCTTTCAAGTCATGTGACAAAGGATGAATAAGAAAATGTACTTTCTTCGACACACATATTTGTGCATTCTAACCTATTACATTCAGCCATATAGCATCCAATAGTTTGTCACGGTGGTATCTATGCGATCAGATTAGAGTGTGTCTCTTTATGTCTAAATATATACCGGGTGTCAGGGTTGAACGCCCTGGGATTTCCGGTCTCCATCGTGCGCACTTTGATTTTCCGTTTTTTTTCTACTTTCAGTATATGCACTTACGCCCTCTTCATCTCGTGTCACTGTCTCGCTTGCGTCCACCTCTCTCTACGTCGCTCACGATTTTTTCCACGCGAAACCTAATAGCCTTGCATCCTCTAGGACACTTCAGGACTATTTCCTGCGTGTCGGACGAACCGGATGAGAAACCGCAAATGTAAAACCCCACAGGGTGTTTTAGTAAAACGATAAGCGAATATTGCTACCGTGTATATACGGAGGGACACTGATTGAAAGACCAATTCGAAGTTTAACGACACATGGTTTTCATCGTGGTTTATGGACTTTCCAGTGGAGGAGGGTGGAAAGAGTAGATAAAAAAGAACGAGGAATGTAAGAATGCTATGAAGATATATATTGACCCTTTTTATAAGACCTTTAAACATATTCCTCAGAGTTCTTTGTCGAATATTTTATCTTATCTTATCGTGTATTTTACATCTTATTGAATATTTATGCACATTTGCAGCCAGGTTTTTCTCGCACAAGGCTTCAATACTTTTGTGAATATACCAATGCGTGTTTGCAAGAGCATTTTAATCTTCTAATGGATTCTATACAAAATTTCAACGTTCCTTATTAATAGCAATTTTTATCCAAGTTTTTCAAATTTTCTGTGTCCAGATAGAATAACAGATAATTAAAATTTATAAAATAAATGAGACATAAATTATTACAAATATACAAATTTATAAATTTATGATAACATTATAATTGTTTAAAGATTAGTAATCAAAATTTAAATGTTACTTGAAATATAAATATAAAATAATAAATAATACAAAATTTTTGAATTTATGATATTACACTGGACAAAAAACAAGTAATCCAAATTCAAATGAGATGTGAAATATTATAATCACAAAAATTTATAAATTTGTAATAATATTATTGTAAAGAAGTTTTCCAAACTTTAACCACATATTGAATAGAGAAGCAAATAATCAAAATTGGAGTAAGATATGAAATATTACAAGTATACAAATTTACAAAGTTATTGTAATATTACAATACAAAAATTTGTCATAGGAAGGTCTTACACGTGAACAATGAAGATGTCGGGTTCATCTCCCGGAGCCTCAACGTTCCTTAAGGGACGCACCTCATCGAGTATGCAACAACGTAGCAACGTACACGTAGGTACCTACGAAATATGCTTCGGATACACTCGTTTTGAACTTGGTGCACATGCACACAGAGGCGAAAAAGGTTCGTTCTGTGTGGTAAATGCACTATGCTCGGGTAAGAACCGCGGCTTCGTGTATGGGGGACGACAGAGAAGAGAGACAGCTGTGGGGCAGCTGGCAGCGCGTGCCACGAACCTATGGGGTCTCCTTCAAACGCAGACGACGATGATATCCTATACTTCGTGACACGTAACTTACGGCAGGTTTCGAACAATGCAACGAACGGAGGTTACCGATCGCGCAGAATCGAAGAAGAGATTGGTTAAATTATCTCCAACACGACTGCCAATCAGATCATTTATAAACCCCACTCTCGCCTCCATCTGATTCCTTTGTTCAATACACGCTCTAAAAATAGTCATAGAAATAAAAATAACAGAAATGATAAAATATAAATATAATATAAATTCCAAAAATGTCAATGTAAATTTTACGTACAATTTTTATTTAGTAACCAGTAAAAAATTTTATTACCTTTTCGATTTATCGTTACCGCTATTGTCCATTTTTCGAAAATTATTTTACTCGTTTATGGAAAGTGAGGACGAGGTACTAGCATTGTGTGAGATTGAACGGGACGTTAGGCTTCCTTGAAAGTTTTTCACCCGCTTCAAAGAAAAGAGATCAGCGGGTTCAAAGCCTTCGGGGGAGCGTTTTAGCCTAGTGAACATCTGCCGTCGTCTGCAACGATAATAATTCGAACAGCTGATACTCCTCGACGGACCACCGCCTTGCCTCGTGGATCCTGTAGGATCATTTCGGACTGCCACTTCCGAAGGCTGTCGAAAGTGCAGCAGTATCGTATTGTCTTGGAACACTGCTACATTTTACTCCAAAAATTGTTCGTGCTATAACGGACATCAAAGAAGATATAAATGACAAGGAACAGTATGGCTGTACGTATAAAAGTTAACGGACAATGTCTTCTGCTTGTTTTTCCACCTATTACAAGAAGCTGAGTAATGGTGTCATAAATTTTGAAAATGGAATAAACGAATGGTCGTATCGATAAATATGTATCTCGTGGTGAATGAATAATCGTCAATAGTGAAAATGAAAATATTACCTTACTTTATTATTTCCCTCTTTCACACGAATCAAAATATCAACGAGAAACCGTGTATTATTATTGAAAAGTAAGTACACGATATTTCGCATGGCGACAATAATTCGAAAAATTTCAAACCACTGTTAATCAGCATTTAAAATCCTTCCACGAGGTAAAATGACGAAAGATTTGTCAACACGTCGTCACTAGTCGATTCTACTTTTTGCATCTCATTCGTGTCTCGTTCGGTCGTCGTTACGCTACGCTACTGGTACTGAGGAGTGGTGGGGGGCCGAGCGGACCAATAGAAAGAGAAATCGCCGAAGAACCCGGCGAACTGGCGCGCAGCACGGTAACCGCAAACTTAAAGGCAGTTCGGTACTCGCACGTGGGCCTTCGTTCGTGTCGGATGTGTGCGCGTACGAAAAATCGCCAATTGTAACGGACATCGTCAGTTACTACGTACGTGTCATCAACAGTGTTTCGCGTTAAAATCATCGCCCATAAAAGGTGTCAAATCTCAGGAAAATCTCTCCGATTTCGTAGTAATGAGTAAAATTTCTTCGTAACGCGAACGTCTGTTGAACGTGTGAATTAATTTGTAACATCGGTTTTATCACCAAATAGATTATTTCACGGCTAGAAGGATACCCACGTTATTGGAGTGAATTTTTTCCTGGTGTTTTTTATTGGGATTAAAAAGCAACATTCTAGTGCATCTGGTGACAGTGCTGCGAAAAGTTCGAGGTGCGTATTAGAAACTCGTCTTGATTTTGCACGAATATTTTATCGAAGTTTGATTGCCCAACCGCGTACAAACATATTCGATATTGTAGCGCTCCGACAAGTTATAATTAGGGGGTCATTGCGTACACGTTACATCGCACAATTAAGACCCAATATTTTTTTTGTAAATATTATGACGTAATCCTCTCTTGCTTGTTTCTCAAGTTTTCCCAACAATTATTTGTTGCAAATTTCACGAATCTATGCATTACATATACAGTGTTTTAACGAATTCTGATCGATGCTGGAAAAACACGAACGTTGGATATCCCTATATTGAAATAACAATTTAATAAGATACGCGATGTGTCTAGGGTTTGTAGAATATGTCCAGAAAATACTGTTTATCCGATGGCCAAATGTTTCGGCGAGGCCATCTTGCGTGTTCGTAAAACGATCTGCTTATTCTCTCGGTCGCTCCTCTTTCACCCCCGTTGCAGCGGTCTCGTCGCGACAAAGGGGTACACGACGACGGGCACGTGTACCACAACGTTTATTAATAAACCTCGACGTCGGCTCGACGATTTCTCTTTAGCAGAAGGCCTGGAAACGTGTGCAGGTGATTACAGCCGTCTGGCGTAAATGAACGGGGAACCATAATTTTCTTTTTTCCATTTCCTGGCTATTCGTTGAGTATACCATCTTAGGATCTTTATCGATAAATTCAACACGTAAAATTTTGCTTTCGAATTTTATTAAAATAATATAAATTATAAATTCTTTAATTTATTTAAAATTGCTAATATTACAATTAATATAATAATCGAATAATAAGGTTAATAGTTAGTGTGTCATTTTTCGAACATTCTATAATTGTATGATATTTTTACTATAGTTTATTTATTATTCGTTGAAAGTAATATATAGTTCATATCTAAGTTTTGTCAGTCGGAGATTGTTTTTAAATTATTTATATATATATTGTTCTAAGAATAGCAACAATTAAATTTGCACGATTCGAAATAACGTTAACGCATACGTTCTTCAAGAACGATCATTGTAAATTACGTTTCAACGAGCGTCCGTGCGAGATACGAATATTTTTACATTTTCAATACCACTCATCGCGGGTAATTATCAAAGCAACGCGTTAAAAGTGAAATTTTATATATTCGTGTAACAATATCATTCGATGCACGTTTCAAAGGTTTCTCTTGGAGATTTTTTCCACGGCACGCGGGCAGAGCCGGGCACCGTCCCGTGTTTTCTAAAACTCTGGCCTTTGCGACTTTGGCCGAGAAGATATTTTAGTGCGTTTCGTCGAGCGCGTGGCAATCGGCCAGTGTCGAATGCGCGAGGCTGCGCAGTGATCAAAACGCGATTGTGGCGGAGTCTTTTCTCGATTGTATCGAAACCATTTCTATGCAGTTGCTACGTTACATCCGATTCGAAATTTTAGGTTACGTATGACCGTCTACGTATATCTATCTACGTATCAGGTGATCAATTGCAACGAGATGAATTCTTATATTATATTCTCGATTAATTTCGCTCGTACGATATAACCTATTTCTCTCGACTCGCGAGGTAACCTACAATTTCCCGTACCATCGAATCGATGTATTTAATACTCCGAAATTTTCAACGACAGAACATTAGGTGACCAATTGCAACGAGATATATTCTCGATTAATTTCAGTTGTTCGATATAACTTATTTATTTTGACTCGCGAGGTAACCTACAATTTCCCGTACCATCGAATCGATGTATTTAATACTCCGAAATTTTCAACGACGGAACATTAGGTAACCAATTGCAACGAGATATATTCTCGATTAATTTCAGTCGTACGATATAACCTACTTCTTTTGACTCGCGAGATGATCTACAATTTCTCATGCCAACGAATCGATGTATTTAATACTTCGAAATTTTTAACAATGGAATATTATGTGACCAATTGCAACGAGATATATTCTCGATTAATTTCGGTCGTACGATATAACCTATTTCTTTCGACTCGCGAGGTAATCTACGATTTCCCGTAACATCGAATCGATGTATTCAATACTTTGAAATTTTCAACGACGGAATATTTATTTACCGGGGCTGTTTGTAAACGGCCCATTTTCAAACAGAGTTGTAAAGTTGAATTTATTTACACACGATCGAGCTGATTTATGAGACAGCCGGCATAGTTGTCATCCCGTACAGCTGTTGTAATGGTAGGTTATGTTACCTGAAAGGTTGGCCCTGCCATCGTGATTTCTATTAAAAGGAAAGTTTGCAAAATGCATATCGTCCAGGTTATTCCGCGCAGCTTTCAAATAAATTAAGCGATGACATTTATTTTCTCTATAAAAATCGGCTGATTTATAGAAATCTCGGGTTGCCGATATTACTTTTAATAAAATCGTTTTACTCCACTCGGTGTGAAGATTCTTGTGCACTGAACCAAATGCACAAACGTTCCCGTTTTAAATAACTTTCTAATTTTGAATCTTACTCGAATCTTCCACACGCAGCGTTTTCTTTCGAGATTTCCCGCCTTTTCCGTTCCCAATGGAATATTTCATCCAATTAAATATCAAAATTAACAAAATTTCGCTGACAACGAAATAACCTAAAAATTCCGGAATATTCAGATCTAAGTTGGACGGGAGTGATATTTTAAATCCAATTATCAACACTAACGAAATTTCGCGCGCAACGATACATCGAAATAACCTAAAAATTCCGGAATGTTCGGATCTTAGTTTCCCCAAGAGGTTCAGTGCTCCAGCTATTTGAAAGTTTGAAAGGGTACCCAGGCTGTACCAAAACGCCTCCTATCCGATCTTTGGTCACCGGAATACCTGGATCCCGGTATACCCGAAAGTCCCCGCAGCTGGCCCCAACTTGGCCGGGTAGCGTGTTCGATAAACGAGTTAGAAAAAATGGTGGAATTGTAAGAGCACACGGTATTTATCAACCACGTACGTAACACGGTCGTTGCTTCCACGGTAGCTGAATTCAGAAAAGCGGCCTTTATGCTCGACCGAACGTCCCAGCGTAGTTGCGTTTGGTTCTAGGATGAGGAAAGAGGGAGAAAGGGAGGAAAAGAGAAAGAGCAACGATGGTGGAGGAGGAGGAGCCCGATGGCAATACAACAATATGATTATACGGCGTGCTGCACCGGTTTTCTGCAGCAGCTGCCGTCGTTTTGGGGGATCCGACAGAAACACACGACGAGGAAGGGCCGTCCTGGCGAAGTAGTGCACTGTCACGGATGGTGCTAGTAGTGGTGAGGCAGGTGGGGAGGGGGTCGCGAGGGGGGAGGGGTGGGGGTCGGAAGAGAGTGTAGGGCCCACTTTGCAGGGCCCGTGTGCCCGGTGTGCACAATATGAGTGTGAGAAAGAGGGAGTGAAAGAGCGAGGAAAGGAGGAAGGAGGAAAAAAAGCGAAAGAGAGGGCCCCTTCTGTAGAGACCTCTATCCTTGCCTGCAGCATTGCAGAAACTCGAAAGCCGAGCCACGAAAAATACCCTACTACCTAGGTTCGGCCAGGCAGTTTTGCTCCTCGCAAGAAGCAAAACTGGCTCCCTTTTCAGGCCGTTACCGAGCCTTGAATGGAGGTCAGGGTCCCTTCTCTCCTTGCCCTTTTCTTCTTCTTCAAGGTACCTTTCCGTGTCCTTCTTGCGGCCACACCAGTGCTGCCTGTTTCTCTTCTTCTTCCCGACAGGCTCTCGCCGGTTTTCCCCGGTATACAGGGGTCCGGCTTCCGCGCAGAAGGGGATTTTTATCTGTTCCCTTTATATGCACGAAGGAGTCATCGATTCGAGGGAATTGAGAGAAGAGGGTAGAACAGTACTCGGAGTATCTCGCTAAGAGAAACCGTTTATTTTTCTCTTTCTTTCGTTGTCCTATGTCGTAGGACATGCGAAATCGTTTCTTACACGAACGGCACGTGTATGTGTCCTCGCTTCTGCCTGTGTTCGTGCATTTTACGAAGATCATGCGGGGCGATGCGATTCTTCGAGGGTCGTGCATCACTAGTATTAAATTCTAAGCGTGTACCTTCTGCTTTTCCCTGCGCAGTCTGCTCCCTTTCAAACTTTACAGCCCCTCTCTGCCATTTTGTCTCTGGGAAAAAGCTTTTCTACTATAATTCCTATTAATCCTAATTAACCACGTCGCCCTCAAAATAATTATCACTCACCCGACTTGCTGCCATTTTTATTATACAAAATTTCAAGCAATCATACCTCGTGCGAATTAAATTATTTCGGGCGTACCCGAATTTTAGGCGAAATTTTTATAAATGCGAAATAACTTTCTTTTCTCGATAAATATTCAATTGAGGTTATGTTATATAATGATTAATAATAATTTTATTCCCGTCGAGTAATTTTTACAGGGTACGTTAATTATTCTGATTAGGAAAAATTTGGAAAAAGGTACTCGTCAATTGAAGACGTTATAGGTTATGTTACAAGAATAGATCGACACGGTTGATGTCTAACCAAAATTATTTTCTCATAGTAATTTTATTTCTGTCGAGTAATTTGTACAGGGTACGTTAATTATTGTAATTAGGAAAAATTTGGAAAATAATACTCGTCTATCGAAGACGTTAAAGGTTATGTTACAAGAATAGATAGACACGGTTGATGTTTAATTAAAATTGTTTTTTTTTCGTTGCAGAGAACCAAATCTCCAGTCGTCTAAATGCTGCTAAGCCTACGACGTAATTAACGTTGACCAAAGTACCACAGACGGTGTCAAAATTGAGCAGGTCGTCCTCCCGTCCGGCGGTGATCTCGCCAAAATTTGGAGGATGTTGATGCCTGGTGCCGCTGGGCTCAGTGCCGTCGGTGCGGTTGGGGCGCCAGGGCCGGACGAGTTAGTCTCGGGCCTCGGTGCATTAGCCGGCACCACTCCTCAGCAGAAAGACACCACATGGACGAAACTTTTCGTGGGAGGCTTGCCCTATCACACCACCGACAAGAGTCTCAGGGAACATTTCAACGTGTACGGCGACATCGAGGAGGCTGTGGTCATCACCGACAGGCAGACCGGGAAAAGTAGAGGTTATGGTTTCGTAAGTATCCTATACACCATATTTCACGTATTTCGTCAGTTTTCTTGATTGATAGTCGTTGCTGTGAACTGTTTTGAGTTTGTGGATAGCTTAGAGTGAGTAGTTTAACTATATTTTCATTTGTATCGTAATTTTGAAATTGTACGTGTATTAAATCGTAACGGGTTTTCAATAACAATTTTACAGTGAGATGTACAACGTACAAGTGAAAGGATCGATAGTAATTCATTTTTTAAATTGGATAGTAATTCACGATTATGCATAGAATCGAAATTATTTCCGATTTTTAATAGAAAATTTTATTTTTGTAATTTTATATATTTTTATTTTATTTTTATTTTTA